GCATTATTATTCTTAAATTTGGCAATTTTGTTTTTATTTTTATTTATTTTATTATTATTTTTTGTTTTAAAATTTACAAAAATACAATTCCAATATAATATTGCGAGAACACCAATGTAAACTGTACAGTAAAGCCTCGTTTCTGCATAACTGAACCATTCGTACGAACTTTTTAGATAAATATTATGCCTATATGTATATGTGGATATATATCGGTATATATACAGCAAACACTGTAACTAGACAAAATTTTTGAATATCCAAAAGTCCATTTTTGATGTTGTAGAGCTAAAAACAAAAACAAGTATATAAAAAATATACAAAATTACGCACATACGATATATATATATATATATATATCATAATCTGTACGATATCTGATAAAGTCAAAGTAGAGGCGAAAAAAACAACAACAAAACACATTACGAATTTAATGAATAATATGTTATATGTTTTTCAAACTAAAACTAAATTCTGCTCTAGATCCAAGTCTAAATGTGCTTATGTATATGTGCGTGCGTGTTAGCCATATATACGAAAGGAGAAATGCAAAAAGTTTACTTTACTACAGCAAAAACTTAAAACTGATTAAAATAAATTTTTGTAAAACTAAAACTGAATGAACAATTAATTTCTTACAAATGTATTTTATATGCAAATTGTTATTATTTTTTTATGATTTTTTATTGTAAAATAACACAAGATTCCAAAACAAACTGAAAATAATAATAAAATAAAAAAAAAAGAAAAGAAAAACATTAAAAGCCAAACAAAATTTTAAGAGTAAAAATCCAACACTAAACAATTTTCTATATATGCAGAACTAGATAAAGATAAAACCAGAAAAGAAAAAAAAAACAATCCGATTAGCAAAGGCGACAACAAATTTATAAAAAATAAAATTAAAAAAAAAAAAAAAAAAAAAAAAACAACTAAGAAACACACTTTACCATATGTTATAAATGTATATGTTATATATAGATAAGCTAATATAGCTTAGTAATACAAACATATACTATGCTTAAATCCTAACTATAATATTAATGAATAAAACTAAAATTAAATACAAAAGAAAAGGAAAAACAAACTACAAGAAAGTAAAGTAAAGCAAGTTGATGAATATTTAAGTAAACGATTAATATTTAAGGCACTATACATACATACAAGCTATACATATAATGAATATTTATTTTATTTGTACATTTTACTATAATAATGGAGTAGAAGAAGAAGTGGAGCTTGACGGTGGTTGGAGAGCCCCCATGGCAAGGAAGAAGATGATGATGAAGAACTTTATGTAATGTTTTTAGAATGTATGTTCCGTTAAAAAACTACAAAATAAAAAAAATCATATAATACTAAATATTAACAGAGTGTCTTTTACATTGTGATCCTTACAGAATCATGTTAACAGACTCCATCTGTTTACAGACTTCATTGCAGCTCGAGGCAAACAGCTCTATGTATTAACATAGAACAATAACACACTCCTCTTCATACACATGTTTCACATGCTTGTGTTATACGTTATACGTAGTATGGCAATGATGACGTGGACGACGTCGTTGCAGCCGTCGCCTAAGCCACTGCTGTCTGTCTGCCTGCCGTTCTCTCTTTGCTCCGAGTATGCGTGCGTGTCGGTGTGTGTGTATGTGCGAGAGTTTGTGTGTGTTGCTGTGCCAAATGGCTATGGCAAAATAAAACTAAAGCAGCTGTTTCCGGTATTTGATTGATAGTGAACTGGCAGTTTGTTTATCTCGCGCACACGGACCGACCGACCGGAGACCCGCCTGCTGCTCCAACCCCAGCCAGCATTGCCGTCGCAGTAGCAGCCCCTGGCTATTTCTCTCTCTCTCTCTCTTTCTCTCACTCTGTTGCTTGCTTGCTTATGCTGCATACGCATCATCACATGGCATGGTTGCGCCAATCCAGTCGGCTGCACTTCGCGGATGCTATTTGGGGCCGCTGCTCGTCGGCGCACTTATTTTTAAATTACTGAAAATGTTGCAAGCACACAAACATAAACACACACGCACACACAAACACACATACGTTCAATTTAAATTTAACTGCAAAATATTTCACTCACACTGGAAGGGAGGGCAGCATACAATATAATAATAACAACAACCAGCAGAAAAAGTAGAACCAGAAGAAAAGCAAACACAGCAAAAGCAACGACATTTTCTTGTCTTCTGCTTTATGCACTCTCCCACACACTCGCACACATACACACAAAGTCTAACACTCTCACTCTCTTCCGCTCTCTTTCTCTTTGGCTCTCTAAACAGCTGTTTCGTTCGAAAGCTCAGCTTAGGCATCTCGGTACACGTGCAACTTGTATGACAGCAGAGTCAAATAGTTTGTAACTATTAAATATTTGCATTTATTGTTGTGCTTGTTAATTAATGCAAAGTGCAGTAACCGTTTTACATAATTGACTGGCAAGTGACTACGACTACGACCCTCACTGTGGGCACATTATTCAATCATAATTCGCGCGGTCAGTCAAACCAACCAACAACCCAACGCAAATTTCAAACGCTCTTCACTTGAGCGGGCGCGTGTATGTATGTGTGTGTGTGTGCCTGTGTGTTGGTGTGCGTGCATGTTTGTCGCCGCTGATAGCCCCACAGTTCGCCGGGTCACCTTTCCCTATGCAAAAAGAAAAAAAAAATAAAAATTCAAATAGCAGAAAAAAAATTTAACTGTAATCAGCGGCGACTTTGCGGCACACTACACACCCAACAAACAAACTGAGATGGCGAACGGGTCTGATAAGCGCACGAGACCTGCCAATTCGCTTCAAACTGGTCTTTGCCTCATCGCCGCATKCGTCGGTCCTCGCTGTCTCTGCTTCTGTCTCTGTTGCTGTCGCTATGGCTGATTGACACAGTTTGGGTCGCTTTCTTATATTGATGAATGGAAACCGAACTGAAACGTTGGCACGGCATTTTTTTTCCATTTTTTCTTTGTGGTTGTTGTTGTTGTTTTTTTTATTGAAGTGTGCTATATTTAACGAAGCGAGTACATGGCATGCAAGTATTGCCATTTGAGTAACTGTATTGGCTCGCCTGCGCTGCTCTCTCAATAACTACACACACATGAACACGAACACGGACACGGACACACACATGCATGCACGCATTGACAGCACTAATGAATGAAGTTGATAAGACGGACAAAGCGACAAAGCGACAATTTGAGCTGCTGCTGCTGCAACGGTTGCCAAGTGCTGCCAAATGGCAAATGGATTGAATGCGGCAGATGAGAGCTGTTCAAATAACTGCAAATGCGCATATTTATGCATGTGTGCGTGTGCCTGTGCGTGAGTGCAAATTGAGAGCTAATCAAATTTGGCGGCGACTCGAGCGAAACTAACTGTAAACAATGGCAATTTTTAGCACACAAACATAGATAAGAAACGCTACGAATGCACAAATATAAACAAAGTGCACATTTCGTAAATAAATTCATTGAAATACTTTGCTAATCTCTGCTCTAAATATAGATTAATCAGCACTCTATATGTAAATCAACGTCTCGGAATTGGCTTATGCAATTAGCTAAGATATGCAACTGAGAGCAATTGATGTATGTATGTATGTATCTGTTGGTAGGATATCTATCAATAAATTTGTAATCTATTCTGCTGTCATTCAACTTTTTGATCATTTCCGGCAAGTCATTGCCGTAACAGTGATGCCCATCTGCCATGGGGTGGCGAGCCATGTCTCTCGCGCTGTTTTACCGCTAGATGAGCGGGGCATCTGATGCTCCGCTCTGTCTGCTGCTCGAAGGTGTATCGCCGCTGAGATTGGCCTTTGAAGCGAGCTGCTCTAATGAGCTGCAGCCAGGAAGTGTTATCAGCACACTCACACACACACACGCACACACACATATACATGGCATATGCATATTATAGCCATTCGCCGTCATGCTGGAAGCTCCTGAATGACAGATCAATGAAATCATTATGAATTCGCATACGCATATCAACGGCAAACAGATTGCGTCTGAGATCCATGTGATCGTCATTCGATCTTAAAAACACAAATGCACTGCTGTTGGGAGGTGATCGACTGGTAGATACTCTGTATGCAAGTTGAGGATTCTATCTGTAGTTGTAGCTCTTTAGATGTATACTTTAGATTCTACGGAGGTGGCATATATGTTTGTATATATATCATCATTATCATTTCATCTCCTCGCTTCAGTTCCTTCCCATCCCCATCGTCTCATGTTCTGCACGCCAGCTTCTTTGTCGTCTCTCACATACCCCATTTGGAATGCATTCGTGGGTATAAAAACGCCAACTCACGTCGAGCTGAAACAGGTCTGCCCGGCTCTGTGGGCTCCGGATTGATCCTGCGCCTGCGCCTGCTTCGCTCGTTGCTCGTTGCTCGTGCAGCGGAAGTCGTCTGTGGTTTTGTATGCACCGCTCGTCGTTCGTTTTGCGTGGTGCTTGGTGCTTGTGCTTGTTGCATGGAGCGTCGTTGTTTGTGGCTCGCCTGATGTTCGCTTTGATGTTCTTTTCGTGTCAG